AAATTTATTGCTGTGCCACAGTGGGAGGTAGATTTAGAGTTGTCTTTAAAGGTGATTTTATATATTTTTGGTGAAACCCCCATAAAATCACATAAGATTGCAGTTCCATTTTCTTTTTCCTTCATATCTGTGATAGATTTTGGAATACTTTAAACACAGTGTTTGTGAATTTTATTTCAAGGCAAACATATTGGTATCTTGTGTGACTAAATGGATAAAAAAAAAGAGTTAGACCTGACGGAACAAAGTATCATCAAAATTACTTCCTCTCGCAAGGAACTGAAGAAAAAGTTGAATATAGTTTACTCATTGAGATATAATTTCTTTAATTTAACGATAATAATCAAGTGGTTACTCAGCTTCCTGAGTTATGAATACATTATCTGTGTATTTAGTTATTTAACACCCACTGTCAAAGATTCAAAGTTCAAAGATTTTACAATAATCCCCACTCCTCTCATTAGTACTCATTTGAAAAATAAGTTTAGATGCTGTAACACAAGTAAATATAGTTTATTTATTTGACTCACGGTAAAACACATAATATAAACAGTTTAAACTGCATCAAATATTACCCTGGGGCTTACCATCTCTTTGCAAGAAGCTGGTAGATACAGGATATCTCTACCTTCCAACATGATTTTTTTAGTTCGGTAATTCCTGAGGATAGCCTTGATGAGTTACTTTGAAGACAGAGATGTTGCAAACAAGCTGAATTTAATTAATATGAATTTGAATTTATCAGTTCAACAAGAAGCTGCTGTCATGTTTATCAAGCCTTCTTTGAGTCCACTAGAAATCTAGAATGGTCGAAGAATTTAGAACAATTTTATATTTTCTTTATTCCACTCAATGATCACCTGTTATATTTTTCTTGTCAATGAACTTTCATTGTTGTTATAATAAACTATTTTTGTTGTTGTTTTATCTAGTCCCTGTCATTCCATTTGACAAATGTTGTCAAACTTCCTGTAAAGAATTATTCTGTTGTGTGCTAAAATTTTAACTTATAATATACTACAGTGCAAACTAAATAGAGTAAGCTTGGTGCCAACCAGAATTTGGTTTTGTAGAGTTTTTAGATTAGTGAGCTTTACTATTTTTCCTTTTCATCTTTCGTTATATACAAATTATCGCATCTTAGAATTTATGGAAATGGAAATGTCTTTCCCACAAAGAATAATTATTGGTGGAAGGAGAAAGTGACTGCTGAATCCAGGGTAAGATCAAAAGAATTGAGACAGGTCAAACAATAACCAAGGATTTTTCCTACCTAATAATAATGTCGGTCTAGCTGATGCTCCCAGCAAACTTAAAGCGCTTTTGAGCTGAAGCCAAACCTTAATGTTCTGAGACCTCATGGGAGGTCTTTAAAGAGACTCCACGTTGTTGCGTCCAGTGTTCTAAAATTTATCTGTTGAATACTTTGGCTACAAAGAGAACAGAGTAGATGCCATTGGAAGGTGAAATGTATCAGCTGAATCCACATAACTACTAGGTGCAGTGTCAAAAATCTCAAGGACAGATGGAAGTAAGCTAATTAGGATAGGTTAAATGCTAAAAACCAGAAATTAACTGAAGGCTCGAAATCGAATGGAATTGAGAGATGATATATACATGGTAACACATAATCAATTTAATTGGGAATATAAGCCACACATCTATAGGCATCAGGAGGCAGAACTGATGCATTTGCTAACATTGGCATTTCAACTGTAAATTACTATGGGAGCCAATCACATGTATTTCGTTACATTACCATATCCAAGAAGTGTTGAGGATAAACAGAGAAATATGTTGACTTTCAAATAAAGGTTTTGACAAGAAAGATTTGGGTCATATCTTAAAGTGATTTAAGAACTTTCTGCATCACAAGCAATATGATGTTTGGTAATCCATTTAGATACTCCTGTGTTTGATGTAGTCAAGAACCTAAATTAACATTAACCCTGTGACTGGGAAACAGTCATAGTAGTGCAATAGTTTTGATCCAGTAGAAAACAAAGCCATCAACTGAGTTGAGTTCAAGGCTCAAATGTGTGGAACACTCAGAACTTGGACACATATACAGATCAGATGTATCAATTGCATGTGAAGACATATTTCAGTGCTGTCACAGATCATAAGAATATCCTATTTTATTCTTTGATAGTTTATTTAGGCAGAGTGTCCATGAAGAAACGAAATTGAATGGACAGCAACTGCCTGTTGTAGAAACACAAGTGTAGAGGACGACGTTTCGAAAGTCTTCCGTCTTCAGGAGGAAGACCATCGAACCGCATGCTGAATAAATAAAGAAAGAATTATGTTTCTCATTTTCCAGGGGGCAAGCCCCTGTTGCTCCCCCTGCGGACACCCATGTCTAAGGCAATCTATTGGTTATTCAATCACCAATATAGTATGATGCATACACAATGTTAACCAAACACATAAAGTAGTGATCCTTGTACCACATAGGAAAACACTATCAATAGTGTTACACTGTCTCAGTTAAAACAACAATGAACAGCCCATGTATTCAATTGAAAAACTAAGTTATTATTATTAGCTATTTGTGCAAAATATTTCACTTTCCTAAACAATACTGGACTTGGCCTAACAACGCAGTTTTTAGGCTACACAATCAAGTTGTTTCTCTGATACAGGACTTTTGATTGACTTACTAGATGAACTAGAAGATTCCCAAAAACTTCTTTTACAGTGCTATATAAATAACTCTTAATCAAAATTGATTTCAAAACCCAAAACTTGATTACATAAGATGTCACCAAACGACGTTAATGCATACATTTTACATCAGATGTTACCAAATGACATTGGAAGCATACAGTTTACATCAGATGTTAACAAACAACACTGGACTCATGCAGTTTGTTTCGAGTTTTATCAAATGAGATGCCCCTCCCAATGGCTCAGCGGTAAGTCTTGCGACGCTAAAAATTGGTTTCAATACCCGTGGTTGGTATAGAACAGATAGTCCATTGTGTAGCTTTGTACTTAAGAAATTAACCAAACCAAACGACATTGAATGCATAGTGTCCTATCTCCAAACTCATTTACAAAACAGGTAATTGTAATACAAATTTTTTTAACAAACAATAATTCAGATGCACGATAAATAGAACATTATTTTAATTTTTAGCAGCAATATTATATTTCAGTTTACCTGGAAAAGACTGTCGTATTAATAGTAAATATAAATACATATTTACGTTCAATTTAAACCAAATTGTTAAAAGAAAGTTCAAAATACCCACAGAATAATTAAAATGCAAGAAATTGTGAACTTCCACTTAGTTTTTTTCTTTAGTAGATACTTTTAGTAAACGGCACATTGTTGTTTGGAATAAAATCAAATGCACTTACATAACATTGTTCGAAGAGTCGCTTACATCCACTTTAACGAAGTGGACTCTTGATTGACTTACAGAAGGGACTAGAAAATTCTACACAACTTTACTTACTCTGTTATATATGTAACTTCTAAAACTGATTTCAGAACCACTCGTGACACCAAATTGTTACACTGGTCCAACTAATACAACAACAAACAGTCCTGTATTGATTTAATGTGTACTTTACTATAGTAAATATTAAATAACCCCTTTCCATAATGAAACTTGTTCGAATTGGCAGTCATTTAGTTGAATCATGTGTTTGTTTGTTTGTTTCCGGTAGAAATTCTTTCTGGGGATCTTC